CATCCAGATTAAAGACGATGAAGAAAAAGAAAGCCACAACAATACTGAATTTAATTTCAAGTACCATTCCTTCATTAAGAACTCTTAATTGGTAGCTAAATTGTCTCATTCCTTTTGCTGCTAATAAACAATGAAGGTTCCAAAAAGCAAAGCAGCACCGGGGAGAAAAGGAAGAGAATATTTTATGAAAATGGATATTCAGTCTTTGAATAATTAAGGATATCCAAATTATAGGATATTTAAAAAGTCCCTAAGCTACCTTTATGCTAGAGTATGTAATTACTAATCTTGGGCATTAAAATTTATCATAATAACTATGAATAACTCTGTCAAGGTATTTCACTTATTGGCAGGATTCAATATTAAAATAAAGGAAATGCTGAATTATAGTATACATTGAATATTTAATAAATTAATTCTCCATGCTGACAGTAGGAGTTCCAGAAATAATTACTGTTGCATGTCAGCACTTAATCAATGCTAGTGATAATGGCTTAAGTACAAGTAGATGCCTAACTGACTCACAATCCAAATTAGAAGCACAGAGGAATCATACTCAAGGTTAAAATCATTCTAAAAAAGGATGTTGGTAGTTATCATTATAGGAAAGGAAAGAAGGTTGAAGTTTTGCTGAAGTTGACTCCTTTGAGAGTTCCTTGGTTGTTAGACATAAACATATTCATATAAATTTTGGCCCTGGTTTCTAGGTCTGATTATTTTTCTTTCATTTGGTTTGTACCTGGGTTCTCAGCAATCAATTGTGACTCTAAATTACATACTACTTTTCAAAGTTGGAAGAAGAGAGGAAGGAAACAGAGAGAAAGAGGAGGAGAGAGAGAAATAGGGGAAGAAAGAAGAAAAGGAGTAGGACATGGAAAAGGAAGGGATAAGGGGGAGATTTGGAAAAAGCCAAAGAAGAAGGGAGAAGAAAAGGGGTACAAGGGGAGCTGAGGATGGGAGGTCTGGTTTCTCCCCACCCCTAGCTCCCACAATCCCCCTTTTCTGAGTAAGAACCTCTTATTCATTTTGACATAGCAGGTTGACTCCAACTTTTTGTAAAGGATACTCAAAAGGGAAACCATAGATGTATATGTGGTGGGTAACAGGAAGTCCCTATTCCTGTAAAAAAAAAAAAAAATACAATCCTTGATTAGGACACCACTGCTTAATTTTTTGTTTCTGACTGCTATACAATTTAAATAGGAGTTTTTAATATATTTAAACTAGATTTGACATAGAGGTAGCATAAATTAGTTTTCTTAAGCAATGTTAAATTCTTGTCTCTTAGAATAATTTAAAGACATTTGATAGAGAGAAGTAATTTTAATAGTGGGGGAAAACTGCTATGGTGACTTTAGGGCTTTTCCAGAAATTGAGCACAGATCAAGACAGGAAGGGACAGGAGATGGCAAAGAGTTTTGCCCTGATAGACATTTACATCTGGTTGGTTTATATCTGTTTTAGGATTGCTGTCCTGTCTGTTCTTGGCAATCTCGTCAGGAATCTGATAAAGCTAATAAGGAAATTTACTAGCATAAGCTCACTTCCTGAGTTGGCCTGTCTGCACTTATCTTCAGAAAAGTCCCAATTCCTCCCCCACCTGAGCTCTAATTTTCTTGCCAAAAGGATATTATGGTGAGAAGGGATTAATATAAATAGAAGGCATTGCATTAAGCTCTATACTTCAGTGGTTTGATAAAGTTTGAGGAAAACAGGGATAACTCAAGTATGTTGAGGATCAGTGATTTCACATTTATAAAATATAAAGCTCATTACTGGATTCTACAGGAATGCAAAATTATCATTATCACTGGTACCATATCCAAATATCTTGCCTACATTTTTCTGATCCAGGCTATTAAATTTCATATTAAAATAGAATAAAGAAGACATTCATTGAAAAGAGCTTGTAAACAGATATAACTTGAAAGACAGTGAGTATATTTAAACTACACGCACACACACACACACACCACATTTTAGGATATTTTTACAAATGATAAAGACAAAATCAGGATGTAATAATACTAGCAACAGAAGTTTAAATTTAAGTGGGGACTGAGCATCTATTAGGCACTGTTCTGTTTGCTTTAGATGTATTTATTATCTTATGTAATTCTAATAAGAACCCTCTGCAATAAGTGATGTTCTATTAGTATTTTATGATAAAGAATCAAGAAACCAAAAATTCTACAGTATGTATTGATGTATACAAGGGGAATGGAATGCATATAAGTTTGAGGCTATCACAGAATTAATATCATAAATTCTAGCACAAGGATGTTGAAAGTAGTAGTAGACACAGAAGACAATGAAGTTTATAAATTTGATACAAATAAGAAAGTGAGTATAACAAAAAGCATATTCACAAACTCAAATAGGTGGTCAGCTTGGCTTAAGGAACTCTAAAATAACAAGCTATTTTTGCTGTGCATATTTTCTTAACTTATTGCTCCTTGGTGTGCTGAAAAGCTTTTAAATCTCTGCAGCACTCATGCACTGTGGAAAGAGCTTGGCTTTCGGCAACATCCACCTTTGAGTCAAATTGTCTGCAGAGAGCTGGCATATTGGTTTCACATATATTATGTTGCTGCCACTCTAAATGTAAGTAAAATAAAAACATGAACAGATGATAGCAATAATAATATTTTTGGAGCAACAGCAATATGCTGTGCTTTGATTGGACAAAATTGAACTTGACATGGATCATATTTCCCCTTTTAAAGTTAACTTATATTTTTCTTTTCATTCCTCCTAGAAGAAAAAGGCTAAAATAGCAGTCAGCACTATCCTGGCACTTGGCTGGCGATGGTGGACTGCTTATTTGGTTTTAACTGTGGCTGTCAGTAAAATAGAGACTTTAGCATACCACAGGCACCCACACTATGCACCACAGACCACAGAAAAGCACTTAGTAGTTATAGGTAATCAAATTTGTGCCATCTGATACAGAAGAGCACCTGACTATTTATGGAAGCACTATAACATATCTTTTAAAACCGAAGAATCTATTTGTAATGTGAATGGTCTCTTACTCTGTTTTTAAGTTTGATTTTTTTTTTTTTTTTTTTTTGAGACGGAGTTTTGCTCTTGTTACCCAGGCTGGAGTGCAATGGCATGATCTCGGCTCACCGCAACCTACGCCTCCTGGGTTCAGGCCATTCTCCTGCCTCAGCCTCCTGAGTAGCTGGGATTACAGGCACGCACCACCATACCCAGCTAATTTTTTGTATTTTTAGTAGAGATAGGGTTTCACCATGTTGACCAGGATGGTCTCGATCTCTTGACCTCGTGATCCACCCACCTCGGCCTCCCAAAGTGCTGGGATTACAGGCGTGAGCCACCGCGCCCAGCCCTAGTTTGAATTTTTATGTACATGTTGTCTTCTTTGAGTAAGACATTTTGGCAAGTAAATCTAAGGTAATCAAACATAATGAACATTCGTTCGTTCAACACTGAAGGTATCTGTATTAAGGACTATGCTGGGTAAGTGAATGCAAGGACAATGTCCATTAATGCCCTTCAGGTACTTGACTAAGGCCAGGGAGGAGAGGAGGATTCTGATGTGTTGCATATTCTTTTCTTGGAAAGTTAAAAATGAAATAAGCATCTTTTCTTCTATAACACAGCTATCCAGTAACTCCTTGAAGGCATTGCTGTAATATTTTTGAAGTCTCCTTCCCACATATAACAGACAGCACAATAATGTGATGAATTTGTGTTTTCACAAAACATCAAAAAATTTCAATGAGGAGAACTTGACAAGGCCTGGGGATCAGAATGCCCAGAGTCCTAAACTGTACCTAGAGTCTTGCAACGTCATAGCCTGAAGAAACTGGCGATTCTTGTACCTACTCCACTTCGCGGTCCCATTCCCTCTTTCGTTTTTCAGAGGAAGAAACTAGTATTCAGAAAGATTGAGGGAGGATCTGTAACTGGAGCTAGGCTTTTTGATCCTCAAACTTTTTAGCCGATTTACTAGATAGGTTTGCTCCTCCTCTTTCGCAGGTAGGAAAGCTATATAAATGACATATTTTGGGTTTCAGGGGATGTTCTCTTGTTCCCTTTTAGTCAAACTTACTATAAATAACTTGTAAGCAGAAGGCGTGGTGGCAATGGATGATGGGCGGTAAAAAAGAACTTCTGCAAAGGCTGGGCGCTGCCTGTCATTCTAGCACTTTGGGAGACTGAGATGAGCGGATCACTTGAGGTCAGGAGTTTGAGATCAGCCTGGCAAACATGCTAAAGCCCCTTTCTACTAAAAATACAAAAATTAGCCGGGCGTAGTGGTGAGTGCCTCAGCTACTTGGGAGGCAGAGGCAAGAGAATCGCTTAAAACTGGGAGGCGGAGGTTGCAGTGAGCCGATCATGCCACTGCACTGCAGCCTGGAGACAGAGCAAGACTTCGTCTCAAAAACAAAACAAAAACAACAACAACAACAACAAAAAACCTTCTATAAAGACAGCCCAGACCCACTCGGGACTCAAGAATTTGCTATTCTTTTGGTCCTTAACTGACCCACCGCTCCCCCATAACTGCGCCCAGCCACTCAGGATTTGGCTGGTGGACAGGCGAAACTGCAGATCCCAGGATGCAGTTTCCCCTTTCATCGCCTTTGTAGCCCGGTCACTACCCTCTTTGCATTCTGGGAAACGTAGTTTCTTATCAGTAACAACTACGTCTAGGAAACGTTGGGCCGTCAGGTTGGAGGGATCCGCCCCTCCATTGGCCCCGCCCCAGGTTGCTTAGGAGATAAGAGACGCCGAATCTTGGTACTTGCGGTTGTGTCGGGCAGGACAGGTACACAGAGAACTCAGAGGTCTGTACCTCGAGGGCTGCCATGGAGAGCCTTGACAGATCTTTCCAAGACTGGTGCGACAGCAGGCAACACGGGTTAGAGATCGGACCCCTGGACTTGGTGGAGCGCAAAGGCTCCCTGACCCTCCGCTCCCATCACAAGAAATACTCGAAGCCGGTGTTGGTGTATTCCTGGTGAGCGAGGTCCCCCCAAGTTCCCGGGTACTGGGGGGAGGAAAGACAGGGGAGAGTATGGAACAAGAAAGGAAAGAAGAGTCATAGAGAGGGGATAGGAGTGGAGACGAGAGAGTAAACTGAAAAAAGAATGAAAAAAGTTGGGGAGAAAGGTAGAGAAAGAAGGAAAAGAGAAGAAAGGTGAGAAATAAAGAGATAAGACGAGAGAGGAGTTGGAAGGAGGAAAAGAAAGAAAAGGAAAATAAATATTTTTGAAGGAGAGATGGAGAGAGTGGGAGAGAGGGTTGGAGCAGGCAGGAGGAAATAGGAGAGCCTTCCAGGGGCAGCTCCCTAGCACACACTGGGCCGTTCAGCAGCCAAATCACCTGCCGCTTGAGGTTTTAGCTCATTTACACAGAGCAGGTGTGTATAAATATGGATTGCAAAGGGGATGCTCTCAGAGGCCTGGAAATCACATTTCTGAGATGGGAACTTACTCATAAAAGGGATTGTAGGCCAGGAGCACAGCAGGTGGGAGATGCCTGTTTAGAGGACCAGCCTCCAGGGCTGCCATTTCCTGGGCGCAGGGGGTACATGGAGTCATTTGAACGAGGCTCCTCATATTTCCTAGGCTACATTCAAGGACCGTTCTGGTCAGAGACTGCAAATTGCATCTCCCACTGGTTAAGGCCAACAGACATTGTTTGGCATGAGCTCTGTTTAATTTTTTTTTCCATTTTAATTAGTTGACCACATTTAAAACTAGGAGATTCACATATAAATCCAGAGTTACATCTTTGAAAATTTGGAAGTCCTGGCCAGAGAGGATTTTATTTCTCCTGGGAAATGAATGTATCAGAATGTATTTTCTCCTGGGAAATGAATGTATCAGAGCTGAGCACTAGCTATACCATAAGATGGGTGTTGTTCTGTCTTTAGGAACTTCCCTCATGTAAGTTCTTGCTTGGCCACAGGAAGCATTTGGTTTACTTGTTGTGCTTTAGACCTTGGCCTGGGAATTCACTTTCTCTTTAAGAAAAGAGATTTTGCTTCTTCTCCAATGAAACACCAAATGGTGGATGACGCCAGTGCCGGGGGGGGGGGGGGGGGGGCGGGGGGGGAGGGGTGGGGCCCTGGGATGGGGAACCCCGGTGGCTTCCGCGGAGGTTTCAGCAGTGGCATCCGGGGCCGGGGTCGCGGCCGTGGACGCGGCCAGGGCCGAGGCCGCCAAGCTCGTGGAGGCAAAGCCGAGGATAAGGAGTGGATGCCTGTCACCAAGTTGGGCCGCCTGGTCAAAGACATGAAGATTAAATCTCTGGAGGAGATCTATCTCTTCTCTCTGCCCATCAAGGAATCTGAGATCATTGACTTTTTCCTGGGGGCCTCTCTCAAGGATGAGGTTTTGAAGATTATGCCGGTGCAGAAGCAGACCCGTGCTGGCCAGCGCACCAGGTTCAAGGGGTTTGTTGCTATTGGGGACTACAATGGTCACGTCGGTGTTAAGTGTTCCAAGGAGGTGGCCACTGCCATCCGTGGGGCCATCATGCTGGCCAAGCTCTCCATTGTCCCTGTGCACAGAGGCTACTGGGGGAACAAGATTGGCAAGCCCCACACTATCCCTTGCAAGGTGACAGGCCGCTATGGTTCTTTGCTGCGCCTCATCCCCGTGGCCAGGGGTACTGGCATCGTCTCAGCGCCTGTGCCCAAGAAGCTGCATATGATGGCTGGTATCGATGATTGCTACACCTCAGCTAGGGGCTGCACTGCCACCTTGGGCAACTTTGCCAAGCCCACCTTTGATGCCATCTCTAAGACTTACAACTACCTGACCCCCGATCTCTGGAAGGAGACTGTGTTCACCAAGTCTCCCTATCAGGAATTCACTGACCACCTTGTCAAGACCTACACCAGAGTCTCCGTGCAGAGGACCCAAGCTCCAGCTGTGGCTACAACATAGGGTTTTTATACAAGAAAAATAAAGTGAATTAACATTGAAAAAAAAAAAAGAAAGATTTTCTGGGGGCCAGTGGCCCGGTGCGGCTCAGCGCCCTGGGGTCCTGGAGCGCCAGGGTTTATAGTGTGCCCGCTGGGGAGGCGGCTGTAGCGGAGAGGCGTGCGGGATCTTTTCCAACCATATTTTGACAGTTAAGGGTCCGCTTCCTTTCTATACTGGGTCAGTGGTACATAGGAACATAATGATTTACCATGCAAGCTAATAGTTCTGGGTCGAGCACCATGCACGTTGTTCCAAAATTATGTGAAAGGTATTTCTTTAATTCTTTAAAATTAAGTGAGCTATTTGAAGTACATATAGCTAAAAAGAAAGAATAACTGAGAAATTGTGGAATTTTGAAACATTAATATTTTATGTTTAAAGCCATAATTTTCTAATATATCCAAATATAAGCTTAATATGTCCCTCTCAGATAAGCTTATGAATTAGTTAATGCTTTCCTTTACTGGTCTTAAAGACACTGCCTTAATTTTTCCTTGTTTAACCAAAGTCTGAGCATTCTTTCTATGTTGAAATCACTGAAAAACTAATTTTAGTTAATGAACTAAAAAGAATATTGATTTTTTAAGAAACAGAAAAATACTACTTATTTTCTTTCTTAAATAACATTTTTTTCAAAAACTTCTGGCTGAAGTATAACATGCTTGTAGTCAAGGTAAATCTTGCCTTTCTCTTGTTCTTTATCTTTCTTTGTAGTTTAGGGGCTTGTATAAATAATGTCTTTCATTTTTATTAAGTGCCCAATTGACAGAACTTAATTTGAAGAAAGTGCCCTAATTTATTGACCACTTAAGAACTGCCTTTATTGGGATTTTTTTTTGTTCCTGCATCTCTTTGATGTTTGTTCAGTCTACTCATCCCTCTGAGTATGTGCAGTGGATAGCCGAGAGAGGGGAGGAGAGTGTGCTGTGCTCAGGATTGCCCTTCAGCCACTCAGCCAGAGATCCACAGGGGCAGCAAGGACAGTCGCACATTCTCGGACTTTCCTGCAAGAAACAAGAGGAGTAAGTTGTGAGTAATGTCAAGCTGGATATAGAATTGTCCTAAGGCAGTTGACCCCACTTTCCAACGTTTTCACTTTATTTGCCCCTCCTACATTTGCAGTAGGTTCCCTTTGGATCTGCAGCAATAATGACTTTATTTCTCTCTTGGTTAGGATTTATCACATAAAATCCTTTTATTATAAAACTAGGTATTCTAGTTACATAATAATGTAACTAAAGGAGACACTTAATAGAGAATTTTGTTTTTGCTGTCATATATGTCCATTTTGGAGACAGATATGATAGAACTAGAAGTTAAATTGCATTTCTGAAAGTTCCATTTAAACAAACTTCAAGTATCTTAATTATTTAACTTTCTGATCAAGGCATTGTAGCAAATATATAGTATCATTAAATCTATTAATTAAGAAAAAAAGAGATTTTTTGAAATTAAATATCACACTGACCAATAGCAACACTGTGATGTATAATCAGAAGAAAAGTGGGAACTTTTAGAACTTTTCAAATTCTTTCCCTTGAATTAACTTTCAATTGTCAAATGTAATTGACAATTGTAATTGTCAAATTTTAATTGTCAAATGTAATTGACAATAATTACATTTGGAGTAGCTGGAATATTTGGGAGAATTGGGAAGAAAAAAACGAAATGAAAAGAAGTCACAAATCTTGTCTACTTTATATTTTTGCTTTTGAAAGAAAAGGAATGATTTTTACTCAGCCCTAAGGCCAAGCCCTACTTCATCCCATTCATTCATGTAATATATGGGACACCTGCAGTTTCTGTCATGCAAACTTTCTAAAGCCTATTTCCTGCTTTCCAACAAGTTTACTTTTCTGCTTTTACTTCTCAACCCCAAAAACATCTCTCTTCCTCCTTTAAACTAAGTATGAGAGGTTATAAAGATTTGGAATCCAAAGCTGCACTGGAAAACAGAAAATCCTTTTTTAGCTTTATGTAGGGCTTACCTCAGCTCTCAAGCAAAACACTTAGCTCTTCTGTGATTCTGTTACCCCACAGGGATTTGAGTCATAATATAAATCACCACTAGAAGTTATTGTTAAAGAGAAAGACCTTTTGCAAAGGGACAGTGCTTCTGCTCTCTGTTGCACCACTATTGCTTTGAAAGTGCATTGTGACAGTTATAGACCTCAATGAAAACCACAGAAGAATATAAATGAGAAGGAGGTGAGGAACCTGGTGAAGAGAGAAGGGTAATGGAACACTGTAAGACATTCCAGCCACTGCTGAAAATATAGATGAATCTCATACATTGGTTTTAGAAGGAAGACTGGGGAATAGGAAGACTTAAATTCAACCCAACATACATTTGTGTGTCATGCACTTTGCTACATGTTGGGAACATAGAAATAAAAAAAACAGACCCAATGAGATATTTTGTGTAAAGCATTTAGCATAATTTCTGGAAAATTGTAAGCTGTCAATAATATAGGGTAGCTGTATGAGTCTGTTTTCACAATGCTATAAAGAAATACCTGAGACTGGGTAATTTATAAAGGAAAGAGGTTTAATTTCCTTACAATTCAGCAGGGCTGGGGAGGCCGTGGGAAACTTACAATCATGGTGGAAGGCAAAGGGAAAGCAAGTACCTTATTCAAAGGGCAGCAGGAGAGAGAAGGGTGAAGGAGGAACTTCCAAACACTGATAAAACTGTCCAATCACATGAGAACTCACTCACTATCATGAGAACAGGGGGGTAAATCTGTCCCCATGATCCAATCACCTTCCTTCCTTGACACATGGGGACTACAGGTCCCTCCCCATGTGGGGATTACAAATCAAGATGAGATTTGGGTGGGGACACATAGCCAAACCATATCATTGGCTAACACTATTGATTTAGCATAGCATAATGCTTAAAACTCAGGCTCTAGATTGGAATGCTAACTCTGTTGCTCTGTGTTGAGACAAGTGACTTGACTGCTCTGGGCTTATTTCTGCAATATAAAAGGGGGATGATAGGATTATTGTAAAATTAAATGAGGTATGATATGTGAAACACCCTTTAACACATGGCCTGTCACCACATATTAAGCACAGTAGAAGTTATACATATTAGGACATGGCCATTGACCTCAATGAACTCCATAGGGCAGTAAAGAAGAATAATATCAATAAATTCAGTATAATCTGATTTATGCAAAAAAGAAATGATTATAAAAAGTAAAGGTAATGGTGTAGTGAGGAGGGTAGTTCCTGAGCAGGGTTTTGAACAAAGCATAGGTACTCCACAGGTGGAAAAAAAAGAATAGGCAAATGCAGTGGAATAGTAAAGAACAGCCTCACAGGAAATAGAACTCTTTTTCAATAGTTGACAAATACAGTTAATCTTTATTATTTCTGGATTCTGTTTGTAAATTCACCTACTTGCTACAATTTATTTTTAAGTCAACATTAATACTTAATGCACTTTTGTGGTCATTTGTAGACATTCTCACAACAGCAAAAAAGGCAAAAAAAAAAAAAAAAAAAAAAACAGTTGCCCAAAGTGCACGTTCCCAACTGAGGTCAAACAAAGCGATGCGCTGCCTTTTTGTTTCAGCTCTCATACTGTAAACAAGTATCCTTTTCATGTTCTACTTAATGTTACCTTTTTTTTTTTTGCATTTTGTGCTTTTTGTTAGCAGTATGGTAAAATGGTCCCTAAGCATCATGCTAAGCACAAGAAGACTGTGACATGCCTTACAGAGGAAATGCATGTGTTAGAAAGCTCCATTCAGATTTAAATTATAGTGTGGTTGGCAGTGAGTTCAATGTTAATGAATCAACAATATACATTACATAAGGTGTTTTTAAACTGAAACACACAAAATACAAGGTTATGTCTTGATTGATTGACAAAAATATTGTGACCAGAGGCTCACAGGAACCTAAACTTGTGTGTCTGTATTTGCTAATTGAGCATTCAAGGTATAGAACATAAAGAGAGCAAGAACTGACTATCAAATGTGAGAAGCACTAGCATTTTCTGTGCTGACTGTATTGTTGGCATACTTGGTCTTCTGTGTCCAAGCAGTCACCAAGATCTGTCCTACAAAGCTGAATAAAATTCAGGTTGTGTAAAATGCTAAATGAACAATGTCATTGACTTATTTTTATGCATTTTGGCCATAATTGTTAGCTTTCTATTGATTTCTTTTATGACATTAAATGTTTATTAAATTTTAATATCTTTTATTAGTGTTTTTTAGTTAACTGATGAACACCTAATATCTATAAATACCGTTTGCATGACTTCTCAACTGAGTTTTCAGTCAGTGAAGTGACTGTACATATAGGTTCAAAATAAAATCTGTAACTGGGTGGAATTTTGGCTTTCCTCTGATTAAACAGTTCAAACATTTAGATTTTTTCCCTGTGTTTCTCTTTATCTGGGATGTGATATGAACAGATGTGTTTGACCTCATTACTCATATTAAAAACAGTTGTGTATAATAGAGATTATAAAGTACTATATCCAAAATCCTTATTAGGGGATATCTTTGGTCTGTTGCTGGGATAAAACATTGCCAAAGAGCCACCTCTTCCTTGCAACTGAAGTGGTTGATAGATAGAGCCATATCACCCTCATCACACCTTGATGCTTCTGCGTGAGAGATGTCTTTTCTAGGAATTATCTTACCCTCCTCATTCCTGTAGCATTTATGGAGCCATATCATCAGGTGATTCCATTAGAACTAAACTGAGGGGAAATATTTTCTGTTAGGGTATCTTCCCACTCATTGGAATGATGAAATACTCAGAACCACAATAATTTAGACTTATTCTTAACAAATTATCTCATGTGAGGCTAATTCTTATATTCATTCATTCATATTCATCTTTTCCTTGACTAAATTGACATCTGGTAACAAGTGATAATAATTTAAAGCAATACAAATTCATTGAAATCTCCATGGAGACAGTTCCTGCTCCGGTCTCCATGGTGACATTTAGTTTTAAAGACTCAGGT